ACGGTGATGATGTACATGATCAGAAACACGAGGAAGAGGGGGATCTGAAGCTCTGGGTAATCTGTGAAACCCAAGAGGACAAAGATGGTCTCCACACTCCTATTTCTTGCAGCCATCACTACGGTACATTTGAAGGGCACGGTGGGGGGAAGAGAGTTGTTTCTGTCAAAGGAATGTATGGCAGTAAGCAACAAGCTTATCATGAATTTCTACGGTAGACCAAAGAAAATGATAAAAAAGAGTTTTGGGTCCTAGTTTATTCCATACAGAACACGTCTCATGCAGATTATTGCTACAGGTATAACAAACCAAGCTGAGTCTCTTAAACACCTTTGCATTTCCATTGCAATTTGTGTTTTCGTAAGAAATGCTTATCGAATCACAGTGTGTACATCCACACTGACTAGTAGCATAATATGCACACAGCTGATAAAAATGTTTGCACATAGGTAAATGCATAGTGAGTCTGTGGGGGGAAAAAGGCGAAATGTTTGTCTCAAAAAAGAACTTATAATGCTACTGTATTCTGCCTGTACACATAAATCAACTAAAATCTTCAAGAGAATATGTTTCTATTCTAAGGATAAAGTAAATATTAGAGAAATCTAGGGAACATGTATCAATCCCAACTTAGCACCTTTTGTTTAGAAAAGGCGACTTCTTTCATTGAATACCTTAGCTACTGAGGGGTTGAGAACGATGGCTCCTTTTGACCTCTGAGTAGAGTATACACTTTATTAGGGTTTATAGCCTAAGAGTTAGCTTCTATTACAGCCCAGACATTGTATAGATACATCTCTTAAGGGTCTCAAGATTTACCATGTAGAGTGCTCTCAGAACTAATTAATACTCTTTCTTGTGAAAGTTTCTATACCAATAGAAAGTCCATATAAGGAGGATATGAGTATGTATCTATTTCCAGGTAGAAAATTTACTCTGCTCTTTGTGAAAAGGTTGTCAATGGACTTGAAGCCAAATATTTCCACAAAGAAGTTAACACTTCTTTCTTTAATGGAATTAAACTCAGAATTGGATAGCATTTACAGTGAATCACTATCAAAAGAAAACCCCATCATCACATTCGGAAAATATGTTCACTGTTTCATAGAAACCTGAATAAACTTACCTGCTACAGAGGAACAGGCCACCACCCTCCTTTTCTCATAAGCGGAGTGTAACTGAGTCATCAAGGCCCTTACATCTAACTTGTAGCCCCAGGGACGCAAACCCTGGAGAATCCCTAGCAACTTATTTCTCACAAGCATCAAAACAGGTAATCAAGGCAAATGCCAAGTCCCTCGTGTCATTTTTAATGACTAGAATTTCCTTGAAATTACACAGAAAAATTGCTGCTTGAAATGGACTATCGGCCTTTGTTTGCACGCAACCAAGCACCCTCTAGAATTAATAAAGCTAAGGTGTAGCCATAGTTCTCAAATTCTGCCTCCTCTACACCAAAATTCAGTAGGCCTCTTTTGATTTGGTGGACAGCATACACCCATTTTAGGCAAGTTACTCCAACCCATTTACAAAGTTACTCAAACTATCGTCCATTGTTTGTGAATCCCAAAGCAAGTCCAGTCTGCCATGCCAGCTTCTGTGTTATTTTGAACAAATGACCTGATTATATGATTGTCCTTGAAGTGTATTCACGGATAAGGATTGTGCAGAACTTTGGAAAGCCCTGATAGTGAATTGCAGATCAGACCATTAGAATTTTAAAACAAAGCAGCAACTTCCATAGCAGATAACTATTCACCTTTTGAGAAACAGCTTTCTGACTTTTTAATGGACCCTAATAGGGACTAAATGCATGACCATAGGCTACCACGTTATTCTGCGACCTACACTTCTTCAGCTGGGCGTTGTCTATCCCACCAACCCATAACATTAGGCATACACAGCAGTTGATAGCATTCCTGTTCCTGAAGACACAAGTAATTCACATGAGTACGTGGTTCAGGTACCCATGATCCACCTCGTGAGGAATTTTTTATGACAACCTGAATATGGAAGAAAGCACTGGGGCCTCGTTTTTAGATGATTCTACAAAAATGGACAGCTGTGACACTCTAGTCCTGTCCGAGGGTCTCGCTGAAAGACGGTGGTGAAGAACAACTCACCTAGTATTCAGAAATTTAAACAGTGTGCCTGGAATATTGGACTAGCCTTTCACACCTCAGTTATGGGACAAGCTCTGTTGGCAATACTTTAGAACAATGGTTCTCAACCTTGGCTGCACATTAGAATCACCTGGGAATCTTTTTAAAATCCTGATTTCTGGACCTCATCCTCTGGAAATTCTGTTTCTTTGTTAATAATGTTGTGGCCCCACCCCATAACAAAGAAACAGAATTTCCAGAGGATGAGGCCCAGAAATCAGGATTTTAAAAAGATTCCCAGGTGATTCTAATGTGCAGCCAAGGTTGAGAACCACTGCTTTACAGGAATGGAATAAGGGCCTCCAGAATGTGTTATGTGCTCTAAATCTGCAACCAGTATACAACTGCTACTTCTCCAGTAATTTATGGGACCCGGAATTTATGGGTGAGGGGTGGAAATGTTAATCATGTTAATCCATTATGACCCACTAGCTTCCCATAAGGGGAACCATGAGCTGTAGTCGTTTAGAGGAGTGATACTTCCACTAGGGAGCACAGGAATTGACCCAGCAAGCTGGAATTGTGACTTGTTTTAGCAAGAAAATGTGTTGGGAGCGAGGTTAAATAGATTCTGGAGCAAAGGCACCAAGATGCCTTATAGCTTCTACTTCCGGTCTCTCCAATCACTGTTCAGAGGTTGCTACATAAGGCAGCCAGGGTAACCTACTAACGAAGTGGTTCTCAACCTGTGGGTCGCACACCCTTTGGGGGTCGAACGACCCTTTCCCAGGGGTCACCTAAGACCATTGGAAAACACATATATAATTACATATTGTTTTTGTGATTAATCACTATGCTTTAACTATGTCCAATTTGTAACAATGAAAATACATCCTGCATATCAGATATTTACATTACGATTCATAACAGTAGCAAAATTACAGTTATGAAGTAGCAATGAAAATCATTTTATGGTTGGGGGTCACCACAACATGAGGAACTGTATTAAAGGGTCATGGCATTAGGAAGGTTGAGAGCCACTGTACTAGCAGATAAGAGACTTCATGGGAGAATACTGAGGCACCCCAGCCAATAGCCAGCACCATGTCAACTAACAAAACAGTGGCATCATTATGAAAATTTAGACCCAGAAGAGCTCCCAAATGATTGCAGCCATGTAATGAGGCCAGGTGTAGCACTGGACCAGAAGGATGAGGTACAGCTTCTGGGACATGGCAACTGTGTAAGGCAGAGACTTACAAAAGCCAGGAAGTGGTTATAAACCAGCACTGCTGAGAATGATTTTTTCTTTTTCTTTCTTCTTTTTTTTTTTAATTGCATGTGGTTTAGGAGGTAAGAACAAACAGAAGAATGCATCTTTTGTGCACTATATATCCCCTAAAACGAGTCTGGATATTATGATAAAGTTATGTGGAAACCCTGGTTTAAAACTGAAGAAAATTACAAATAAAATATGTGTTTACTTTATGTTTTACAATTGCCAACTTGCTCACACATATAAGATGAAGTTTTGTGGTATGTCTTTTTTTTAATTTTGTTTTATTGCTTAAAGTATTACAAAGAGTAGTACATATGTCTCCTTTTTCCCCCCTTGACCTTCCCCCGACCTCCCCTACTTGTGGTATATCTTTATAGTATAAAGTGAAGGCAGAAAGTTTTATTCAAGATCAACACACCAGGTTAAGGCCAGCAGATGAATAATCAATGTAGAGAACATTTCAATCAAAACAGTTGCAATAATGCTATACCTGTCTGGCAGATATGCCATGCAGGTAAAATGTGTAATTATTTAAAAGTTAACCTTTAAAAAACAAATCAAAATTATGCAAACTATTTCTGAAACATATTGTGATAGCCTCTGTATTAACAAATAGAATTACAAAATCAAGTTTAACACATTAGATTGCAAGATTAATAACTACATATTTCTCATTTTTGGTAATCCTTCTAGAAATTTCTATGAAATCAACATTTTTACTTGCTATGCAGAGTCATCAAGTTTAACACCACTTCCTACACTATAATAAAAGTACATGAGGCCCTGCGGAGAGACCCAAGAAGTTGACCAGATCTGAGAGATTATGTCTCTAGGCTCTCATTGCTAGTCTATATTCACACTCCTAGCTATAACATTTCAGAATTCCTCTATAACCCCAACATTCCAATTGCTTAAATGGAATTAGAGAATGATTTAAAAAATAATTCGCCATTCCAACTTAGAGTCAAGAAATTTGGATTTCGTGGTCTCATATTTACTGTTAAGTAAATTTCCTAGAGTTGCTACAGTAAATTTTCCCAATGTTGGTTGTGTAAAAGAATGGAAATTTTCTCATACTTCTAGAGACCAGAAGCCTAAAATCAAGGTGCCGGCAGGGTATGCACCCTTTGAAGATGCTAGGAGAGAATCCTTTGCATCAACCAGATTCTGGTGGTTCCTGGAGTGCCTTGGCTGGTAGCAGCAAAATGTCAATCTCTGCCTCCATCATCTCTAAGCCTTCTTCCCTGTGTGTCTCCTTGGGTTCTTTTCTCTATAAGAACATGCTCATTTGGATTTGGGGCCCACCTTATTCCAGTATAATCTCATCTCAATCTTTACCTTAACTACATCTTCAAAGAGCCTATTCTCAAATAGTGTCACATTCTGAGCTTCTGGATGGACATGGATATTTTGGGAGACATTATTCAACCTACAACACTATGTCACTTCACTTATAACTCACACTGAAATGAATAGAAGTCAAATTATCACATAAGTAATGACTGCAAGAGATTTAAAATTTTGGTGAATTGCCTAAGTAATTTAAATTATCATCTCTACCAGAAGCACTGAACGATTCTCAATATAGTAAATCAAATTCCTCTTGGAAATATAAATCTTCAACAAAATTGTATTGAGCGATGAATTAATTTCCTGACACTCTCCTTCACAACTTTGTTTCTGAAGCTGTATATCAGAGGGTTCAGCATGGGAATTACCACTGTATAAAATACAGAACCTACTTTGATTATGAGCCTTGAGTTTTTGGAGTTGGGGACACAATAAAGGAACAGGAGAGTCCCATGGAAAATGGTGATGGTGGTCAGGTGGGAGGCGCAAGTGGAGAAGGCTTTTTGGCGCCCACTAGCTAAAGGCATTTTTATGACAGTGACAAAGATGAAAACATAAGTAGTGAGAATGATTACCAGGCTGCTCACCTCATTGAATACGGCCATGGCAAAGCAAAGCACTTGGCTGATGTAGGGATCAGAGCAGGAGACAGAAACAATGGCAGAGTGCTCACAGAAAAAATTATTTATGATGTTAGACCCACAGAAGGATAAGGCCTGGAGAAAGCAGGTGAGTGTCAGGGAAAATACTATTCCCAGGGTGTAGGGTCCAGCTACTAGTGATGCACAGAGCTTTGGGGACATGACTACTGTGTAGAGCAGAGGGCTACACACGGCCACAAATCGGTCATAGGCCATCACTGCCAACATGAATGTTTCTGCCACCGCAAATACACAAGCCAAGAAGAATTGCA